GCTCTGTTGATGAAACGTGGCTCCCATCCACATGTCTTCTGGTTTATTCCTTCGGATTTACACTGGATATGGGGTGTGGATAGAGTTGTGGGTGGTGCAGCGCAAGCTATCCATGGTCCCTCAGTAGGCGCAGGCCTCCTGTGGCTGTCCTATGGAAGCCACAGTGACAGGCAAATCCAGAACCGGATGCTTCCAACCATATATATACAGGGTGGCGCACGAAATGTCATACCATTTTTTGTTTATTTGCTACGTACTATTATGAATGTACTGTTGAAAACTCATATTCGTATTCTTTGGTTCATGGGAAAGCCGGTAGATGTCACGAGAACTTAGTATGGAATATTTTCTTGGTGCCAAACCCAATTTGCAGAGCAGATTGAGCGTTGAACGGAAGGTGCATGTTGTAATTTTTTTACTGTATCGAGGAGTTTTGCAAGGACACGGACGTTTTCGTGCACAGTCGTACAAAATGGCCTCCATGTAAACAGACTATTCAGAGATTGTATCGTCAGTTTGAAACAACTGGCTCTGTGTTGCAGAAGAATCGACGGCGCAGACCAAGTGTCCGGGCCCCTGAAAACTTGAAAGCAGTGCGCGTTGCTTTATCACGATGTCCTAGCAAATCAACAAGGAGGACGGCTGTTAAGTTAGGAATATCTCCTCGGTCCATACAAAGGATTCTGCATTCTGATCTTCAAATGTTCCCTTACAAGATACCATTTGTCTATAAATTAACAACAGCGGATAAGCAATGAAGATATGAGTTTGCTTCATCCTTAGTACAAGAAGATCACCTCCTGTACAACACGCGGTTAACTGACAAGGCGTATTTTCATTTAAATGGTGTAGTGAATAAACAAAATGTTCGTTTCTGGGCAAGTGAACATCCTCACATTCTGCACGAAAGAGAAAATCATAGAAAAAGATCAGTGTATGGCTAGCAACTTCATCCCATGGAATCATCGGACCCATTTTCTTCGATGAGACCCTAACCAAGGATCAATATTAAGACACGTTAAAAAAAACTGATTTGTTCCAGAACTCTTGGCAACCGGTCTCCCATTACAACTTCAATGGTTCATGCAAGGTGGAGCCCACCCACACACTGCAAATGTTATTCTACCTACCTGCATAATTTTCTGTTAATTTACACTCATTGCTTACACTAATTGTGGTTATCCTCAATTACTTCATTGTGTTTGTAGCATTTTTTGTGTAACTTCTGGACATTTTGTACTTATCTCGGATCCGTTGCTAACCAACTTACTTCATATGCTAATTTAGAGAAGAGTTATGTCTGCATAGCCGTATGCTTTAACAGATATATTTTATTCGATAATGTTATTTTAAGTGATTGGCTGTTGTTTGACACCCCCAGTGTGGCTGCGCTTGATGTGCATTTTGACAAGATGCCTACCTGTCTATTACCCACTACCTCGTCCATACTGGCTCCAGGAGACAGTTGGTCGTTGTTGGAGGGGACGGAGTGCACGGTCCTTGTGGCCGTGTTAGGATCAAAGAGTGGTTCCATGCACTCAGTGTGGAGCGGACTACTGTCCAGCCACCGCCTTGTGTGTGCTTGATTCCCCAAATACAGCGTGCTTGTGTTTGCCTGTGAAGGAGTGTGGGCCGGCTCCGTTGATGAAACGTGGCTCCCATCCACATGCCTCCCGGTCTTATTGCTTCGGGTTTACACTGGATATGGGGTGTGTGGTTGGAGCTGTGGGTGGTGCAGCGCAAGCCATCCATGTTCCCTCTGTAGGCGCAGGTGTCCTGTGGCTGGCCACAGTGATAGGCAGATCCGCAACCGGATGCCGCCAACCATGTATGGGCGGGTAATGTTACATCGGCTTCCTGCGCATTACCATAGGGGAAGACAGTGGCCTCCACATATCCTTGGCATCAATCCATGTGATTACTTCGTGTGGGGCTACTTGAAAGATAATGTCTTCGCAAGGAAGCCTGCAAGTGCAACTCAACTTATCATGCAGTTGTGCCGTCCAATTTTGGAATACTTTTGCAGGAAGTTTGTGACCAATGTAAAGATTCGCTTACAAGTGGTTTTGGAATAAAATGGTAATCACATTGAACACACACTACATTAATCTAAATTTCCATGCTCATGCAATTAATTCTGCACTAATTTTCTTATAGTTTGCTGATAACTACGTGTGTAATGAACAAAACAAATCGTATGACATTTTGTGCGGCACCCTGTTTATAGGCTAGAGAAGGCTTGCCAATACTATTTGGCGGCGTACTCTCGGATCTAAGTTCCTGATCCGTATAGTGAGACCACTTGGACTCGGAAGCGAAGGGCGATTACCAAGGATGAGGATGTTGAACAAACTTAAATTAACTAACTGAACGGTGGTACAATAAAGCGCGATATAGTATGTTCGGCCGCCAGCACCTCGGCCGAGGGTAGCATTTCCAGACAGCGGAGAGTTTATGAAACATCGATTCAAAGTTTTATGGGCATGGAGCCTCCCAGTTGCCCAGGCCGAGAAACTAGGTTGACTTAAATGACCCCAGCCGAAGCCTTTGATCATAAAACCCTGATTCGCAAGGCAGTGTGGCGATTGACATATCTCAAGCATTTAGAAGCCGGCTACCACGGTGAGGATAACACGGCTTTCGAGTAGGAACCTATTACTCAGGACGCCCGAGTGAAGCAGCACGGAGGCCAGGAGATATTCCGTCTACCACCGAACTCTCCGGTATGCACGAAGGCCGTTGACAGCCAGATGGTTCATACGCCTTCATAGAAGCCGGTAGACATCGACGTTGTTCCTCCGCTCTCTGGTCGCAAGTGAGTGGCCAATGCCCCTATAGCCGGTCACATCGGTTTTGACCCAGTATATTACGAGTTCTTATGGTATTTAATGAGGAACCAGATGACCAGTCCAGAACTCTCAACGCTCCATCATGCTGCCGCTGATTGTCCACGACTACTTATTCATTTCTCCTGCTAGCAGCTGAGACTTATTCACAGTTACTTTTACAAGGGTGGCGTTCCCCGATCCGGAACCTGGTGATGCGGCCAGTGGCGGACAACTCCGCCGAGCGAACCATTGGTCGCTTCATTTCCGGGAAGCTTTGACAATACTGTAGGAAAACATTTCACCAGTATTCCCTAGATATGCGAAAACATAATGACGACCCGTACCTCTAGCGACATGGACTTTGCTTGTACGTCCGCCATAAAAGCAGTTAGTAAGATCGAAAACGCCGGAACTTTGCACAGTTATCTACTAGGATATCAAGGTGACTCTTCCCCCCACAGTCATTTCTCTATTTTAACTGGAAGGGGGCAGAGCGAGAACATTATCTTCGCTACGTATACAAACTGAACTGAGTTACTACAACCGCATTTTAAGATAAATCTCTTTAAGAACAAGGAGACGGATAGAGGGAGACAGTGTAAGATGTAGCCACACTAGGTTGGCGTTCAGCACCAAGGTGTTTACATTTTTCCGGAACAACGGCTACCATGTGATGAAAAGACATTAGAGATCCAAATTCTCCGTAGTTTATTATCGTTTTTCACATAACTCAACGCATTATGCGTTTTGAATGAGTGATCCACATTGGAAACGGCATTAGATACTGCTCTAGTTCAAGTTTCATGCTGCATTCGTTAAGTCTACAAGCTTATCCAAGGTCTGCCGCCTACCTGAGTCTGAAAGGTGAGATCGATCAACAGCACCAAGCTCGGTGTATTGCGATTTCATCTCTTTTCCGGGCCGGTGGTTGCAGCTCTTAGAGCTTAAGCCGTCCATCGTCCGATGGGTCTTTGACTTCTAGTAAAGCCGTGAAGGGACACAGGAAATGCGTATCTGTCAACGCTATCCATTTGTTGAAGGTCTAGCCAAGCACTCATTTGCAATCGTTATCGTTGTGAAAATCCACCAGAATCAGCACTGTGTAGGTGACAGACTTTCTCATAGTGAAGAACTCTCGCCGTATTACCGTATGCACAGTCTTTAAGACCAAGGGGAGCCTTCAGGTCGGAAGGGTTTCGTACTCCATCTTTCACTTTGTAGTTCTGTTGTAATACGCCGACTTCATGAAAATCTTGTTTTGTTTCTAGTGTCTGATGATGCGGTTTGCATTTTAAGAGTTCTCGCGCTATAACTGTATGCCTCTACTTGTTCTCTGGCTAACGTATGCGGTTATTTTCCTCTCCCATGAGAGGCCTCGTGTTTGTATCGTCTTAATTTGGGGCGGGGGTCACTGTACTGATATGCTCACTGCACGAACGTTCAATAAGTCGGTTACATTCGGTCGCACCACTCCAGTGTCCCATTTTCGTTTACATTTCTGCCGATTACTACTAATTAAATTTTCTACTTTTATTACTCAGCACTAATCTTCTGCCTTTTATTGACCCTAATTCTGGTGCTTGTCAGCTCACTGACACTGCGATTATTGACTACCTTTGAATACGGTTGGGATACAAAGCAAGGTCCTCACGGCGTTCATTCAGTTTATATTGTTTCCTCAGCAACACTTTATCGTGTTATTGAGTTCAGCCTGGAATAGCTTGTTATCTGTGATCAACACTTTCTCCTCACTTCGAATGTGTATGATCCTAATAATCTCAATACTACTCGTGTTGGCCTCAGTAACTCATAAAGTTTTTGGTAGTACCACTTTCTGACTATTAGACCGATTTTTCTGATTTTTCCATCACGTTTTCGCACCACTTCTCCTGAGATAGTCGATTGCGAGGAATTATCTGTTTGTGTTACCAAATCTGATGTGCCTCTTTCTTACCTCTTTATACTGAAATGCTTTTTTGCTTATTACCCTTCAATTAGAACGAATTGACGCGTACGAGCGTTCTCTTATTAGTTCCACAACAATCCTTTATAGACTAAACCTTCGTATCCAGTACACGGTGTCGAGTGTGCAGCTCTGTCTTGGGGAATTGCGGACTTGTTAATTATGCAATTCGTCTATTTACTGGTCTGGGCTTCTGTTTCGTTCTGCAGGTTGATACTATTCTTTCCTGGTACAAAATGCCTGAAGTAGTGGACAAGTACTTTCCCGGGGGCATCTGCGGGTCAGACAAACAAGGCAGACCTCTGTTCATTGCTCCGGTGGGTTGCCTAGATCCGAAGACTTTTATGAGAGCCGTATCCCGTGCAGACTTTATTCAAAGCCGAATATATCAGATGGAGTATATACTGCGTGTCGTACTGCCAGAAGCCTCCGAAAACACCAATCAGGAGATTAGTCAACTATCTGTGATCACAGATATGCAAGGACTCGGGTTCAAACATATGTCACCGTCGTGGCTTTCCATTTTATCCGAGTCTGTCGCAACCATGGAATCCAACTACCCTGAAATCTTGGGCATCTGCTTCGTCGTCAATGCTCCACCTTTATTCTCAAAATTATATGGATTTCTCAGACCCATGTTGAGCAAAGCCACGCAGGAAAAAATTCACGTACGTTACCTTTCTGACTTTTCCTGTGAGACCTCTCTTCTATCCCAAGTGCACTTTTTCACTATGTTCCAATTATCCATTAAATGTTTCTTCCCTCTGGTTCCTTCGAATATTCTCCAACAGTTAGCATTACTCTTGCCAGATTTGACTTTGCACTGACCTACTTGTCACAACTGTGCCAGATTGCCAAAACGGATTCTCTCCCCTGATGGAACCTGTAAAATTCTCTTAACCTATTAGCGTCTCACTCCCATCCTGATCATTCAGCCTTGTAATAAATATGGATAAGCTCTTTTTCGCAATAGAGAATTTCTCGCTTTGTTCCTGATTCCTGTTTCGTGGGCTAAGATTACCTTAACTAAGCCAGAATCGCCTTAGTTCTGCTAGGTGGGTAGTTTTGCTGAGTAAGAAGAAAAGGCACCAACAGTACACTGCTACGCAGTACGGACGCTTTCCTGCTGCTCAGCCACCACCAGTCACACAGGGGCTTAGGACACTGCTAAACTCTCCCTGTCCCTACGCAGGCTCGAACCTGCACCCTCAAATTACAAGGCAGGCTTCTGATCCTTGAGACTATGGGCCGGCTGAGTAAACAAAACGATATACTCCAATCTATACACCCTAAAATTGCAACATAATTTCACTCGGAAACTACGCAACAAGACTTGTAAACTAACTGTGCCCAGAACCATGATAGTTATTTGATCTAACTTCTTCCTGGTTATCTATGCTGTCGTGTGGAATAGCCTACTAGCCACTATCAGGTCTTGCACAAATACAAGAACATTTCGCACACAATTTAGAAATTTCCTGGACCGAAACTCCATACTGATTGTGTTTTCCTCGGGTGGACCACTAAATGAGTTGCTCCAGGATGGATCAAGAAGTATATAAGCAGTGAGCAACAATGTTACACCTAATGCAGCAACAATAAAATATCATGTGATTCAAAATGTTTCAATGTCATGCGCCCCAAAATACAACTCTCACTCATGCATGAGCATGATCATTGATGTACCCATGATCTTTCCCCAACTCAGAGACAACTACTCGCACACCCGATAAATACACGTATCATTATTATCTTTGAGGGGATATAGTGGCCAGTCCTAGCCCGACGAGCGGTGACTACCGTTTCAACTAATTCATGTTGTTTACTAATGAGTAGTAATCTAAAGTCCGTCCGTTGTGCTTCTAAGTGCTGTGTCGTACACAGTCGCTATGCGGAAAGTTCCTTGCTCCCTTGGGCAAACTACTGTCCTCTGCACGCTTCGTAACTGGCTTGGCACTGGAGGATGAGCCGGGATATATCGTAGTCAAATGTCAGTCATGCAGATCTGCGGCCGTCACCTATGGCTAAGTAGCACTAGCTGCTGGCATCTGGAAGTCCATGGGGTCGGAACCCGGCAGGGGTCAGAGGAAGGCGCACCACTGAGGAGACCCAGAGGGCCGAAACAGCACTGTCTGGTGCCTTTCCAGATGTGTCGAAACCTGCTGACTGAGAGGAAGCTGCGCTGAATTGTCTCTGAAATAATTCATGTTGGTTACCAACTGCTTCTTCACCACCTTTCTCGTCACGTCAGTACTTTTTCGGACCGTATTTTACAAACTCATCGCCAATCCATGCAGGCCTCTAGGCTACACGAGTAAACGACTTGAAATTGCATTTATACTTCCACTTGCACCCAAGCGGACCCACAGCTTAAGTAGTGGTAGGAACGCGGTCCAATCCATTGGATAGTTAAAAGTCCATATCTCGCAGCCACATTGGGCCTGAACACAAGTAGTACTGAAGTGCATGCCCTTCGCTTAGGCTTAAAAACCATTGAAAACTTAACCTTTATGATCCGTTTGAGGCGGCCACGCACGTTTGTCGCCGTTTTAATCAGGAATAATTGATTGTTTTCCTGTAGAGTTGCATCATAGCATCATTTACCCGCTTGTCTCCACATGCCCGTTACTAAGCTACCCACGTTTCATAGTGGTAGTGTACTGTTGTCTTGCTTCCATCTTATTTTCTGTAGCTCGCGAATCACCCTTGTTCGATAATTGTACGACATCGCGTTTCTTTTCGGGAATTATGGTAACCGCTAATAAGCAGGTGTACGCAAGTTCCTCTTTGAGGGCCAGTCCTATCTTCGCGACTTTCTCACGAAAACTATTCTGAATGGATAATTTCCGGTTAACAAATGTTATCTCCCTTTAAGGCCTAAGGAAGTTATTGCGGTAGAAGGTCTGCACTTGAATACAGTAACACCTGTTTCTTCGCTACTGACTCAGTCTGCCTCTTCAGTAACATCTACCGAACGATTCGTACGGTATTCGTTTACTGAAGTGGTTGAATTTGAAGTAACAGCAACAGACACTTTTAAGTTAAGTTATGCGTTCACTCACCTTTTATGTTCGCAAGATATTGGTGATGTGCTTGAAAACGTTATGAAGCACAAATTCAAATCAGCGTTTGACAGAACGTGTCGGCCAGTGAACCCGAAAGTCTTACCTAGTATGTTTTTCAGAACCGACCGAAGTTGATAGTATTGACGAGGCTCTGGTGGATCGGTATAGGCGATCTGTTTAAATCTTTGGAATACTGAAGGAATGCTATTAAACGGCCATTGTCAATTGTCATCCTCATCTCTAAAATGGATCACATTACATCTCAGGAAAATCGTCGAAACATTTGTCATGCCTTCCAAACTGCGAACAGGCGTCACCTTCTTACACTTCATTTCTACATGCAAGGTTGAAGACCATAGAAGCGGATTTAGCTTGTACGCTGGCTACGATCGTGTTCACCGTATTTGTGCACTTCATCTGATTTCTGAACGGTGCCAAGCATATGGGTGACTCGTTATAGTTTTCCTAATTGACACGAAAGGTGTTTTAGAAATTGCTTTCCTTTTTTACATAGCTTTAGTTCGGCTCCCGAGACTGTATGATCCGCAACAGCTCTTTACTACAAGTGTAGCGCTTCAGAAGTACTTCATTTCTCCCTTGTCTTTACTTTTTGCGGTAGAGAAGACTGCCCTTGTCCTCAATGCTTATTCTGCCAGCTGGTCAATTAATGAATTTGGAATACACGAACGAAGTAGCGTTTGGGGCTTGCTCCAATCTGTACAAATGCGTCCGGGCAGGCTGATGCAGAGAGCTGCACGTTTCAGCATAAGCTTCTCGCTCTCAAGATGAAAGATATCTGCAGGGCATCATTTTCCTGCACTGATGTTTCATTAGCGTGTCATCACAGACTGTTGTAAGCGCACTGGGATGTTGGCAAATCACGCGGGGACCTAAATTCAATTTGGAAACTGAAGATCAGATAACCGAACCATCGCTTCACGTGTCTCTTACTCTCAAGTGTGGCGTATTGCCTCAAGGCCGGATGGACAAACTACCTGAACTTGCCATCATCAACATCAGTCGTTAAACAGATACCTCTCTATGCAACCATATTTCTTAAGGAATGAGAATTAATAGAAACCGATTGACGTAGACAAACATTCAGGTTCATTACACCTACTATTTGTCAACAACGCACTGTCGCTAACAGCTGACTGTCGTGCGAAGTTAAGGCATGAACGGTGATAGATTGCGACTTTCGTTATCACTTGTTGTGATTAGCCTGACCCCACAGCTCAACATCAGACGCACTCTGTCTAGGGGACGACAGTAAACATACTATTAGGGCCTGTTGTGAGCCACGTCTTGTTTTATCCCCAGGGCGGGTCGCGTGGGAGGCGCGAAGAATCAACAAAGCCCAGTCTAGCTGTCATTTGCTACAGCTGGCTACTTAACTTGCTTCAATTCCAATCTTGCATCATCCTCTTTGTATGACCGATAAGCATCAATAACACGTTCTGATGCCAGCGCAATTTACTCGACATTATTCCTTACTCTCTGGCTCTAGCCTGATTGTCACTGTTACGTGTACTCATTATGGCTGCGGTTACTTTGGTTTTGTCCAACACCATCGTTACTTCGCAGTTAACGAAGATACCTCAGATGGACCGTAGAAACAGATATTAACCACGTACAGGAGAATATCGAAATGCCTGAGCAATAGCATCCTTACTTCAATTCCCCCCGCTCGATGCAACAGATAGGGTGTTGTGGATTATTCTGTTCGACGGCTAGGTCGTCCAGAAATTGTTTGAAGATGAGTTCCCTGAGCTAAACTGCGAAAGCACCAGCGGTCAAACGCAACTAGTCTCCTTCTCTCTCGAATAGCTTCCACAACCATACGGTGAGGTTAGATGGACGGTTGCATTGTAGATTTTACCCTTTAGGGCGGAAGAGATGTCGAGCAGGTGCCGTAAGTGGCAAAGAGTAGCAAAACGCCCCGAGCTTTCACTCTACGGTTTGTTAGTTCATCTTCAATTCCACGCGTGCTATGTACTTGAATTTCTGAACGACTTCTAGTCGATCCGCGCCGTACATGTCAGCAAAGCTCTTGTAGATTTCCAAACTCTCGGTCATTTATTTGTACTTCGGGGTATCAGCTTGCCAGCTTGATGTGACGCATACAGCTTCGCGGTAAAGTCGATGTTCCTTTGTTGATCAGAAACCTGGTCACTTCATACCAAATTCATTAAGATGATTGACCATCTTTGGTCACCAGCATTTTTGGGATATCGCCTATATCCGGTTGGAACACCGTGTGAGCTATGGGGAGATCTACCAATTTGTACTTGTGGGGAAACCCGCTGGTGTTGCTATGGAATGTTCACCGACCTAAGACTGCTGGCTTTTGTCAGGTCATGTCCTCCATATGTTCGTTGATCACCTTCCTCGATGTGTATTATATGCTGTCACTGAACTTAGACGAAATCACTGGTGGTCAACCGATGTTGTATAGGTTGTCTTCGTTTGCGAGATGGGGACTCGGAATCAACTACATCCGCAGATGGTGTAATATTCGGGAAGCCAGTCTCATTCTTAAATCCATTCCGTTGTATCTAACTTGATGTTCCAGTCCACTTAATTTCGTCCGCCTTTTTGCTAATTTCCTCTATTTTATTTGGGTTTTATCTCCTTTTCTCATCATCTTTCACCATTATTTTCCCGATAACATGATTTATATTAACTGAATCTAATGCGATTCGGTGTTCGGTTCACGGTTGTTTGACTGGTTCGACTGAGCTGAACCCCAGTATTAATTTTGTCCGCCCTTGCAATAGGTATTGGACTCAAACTATCAGGAGACTCTTTTACGTCATTTCAATGCTGACTCTCTCCCAGCCTTCTATGGCGGTACTCTGGTCGATCCCGACGGGGACCCGCGTTGTCCTTCTCGCATTTGCTGGGCCGGCCCCGTTCCGGAATGTTACTTCACTCATCCTCGCTCATCAAACGAGAGCACCATCAGTCGACATTCGGTCTCGCGCTCCAGCAGTGCACAGTCTCTGAGCTGCAAGGAGCAACTTACCGCCGTTGAGATTGACCGCGGCGCACAACGTGATATCCCCGTTGGATTCCTCCCCGCTGGTGCCGAATTGCACTGGTACGTCCTGTGCGAATCACATGACATCGGTATTGGTTGGTTCGTGAAGCCCACTGATGGAGTTGACTTTAAGCCAACCCGGACTCGTCCCGGCGTCTCTGCTGAACTACCGTCTTACTTACTAGACTCCACTCAAGGACACCCAGGGAGACAGTCTACTAGTATAATCTCAGATAAATCGAGGGAGACAGGAGGATCACGAGATAAATCATTGACAGAGGTTGTGCCAGTTCGCCGTATTACTGGCTCCATGTCACCTTCCAGAGGCAAGTGCAAGATTCGGATACCTGGTTCATATTACATGAGACTGGACAATTCCTACAGCTGGATGAGAGTCAAACGTGTCCGCTATGCTTTCAAAGTGAGTCAAACGTGCGTTTTACCACACTTGATTAATCTTTTTCGACTTATTTAGCTCAGGTGCGTGAGCTGTTATCCCCATACAAAGGAGGAAATCCATCGTTAGAAACCTTCGGAATTGAGCCATGTGTTGCAGGTCTATCCTCCGCTTTAGTTTGTGCTTAACAGTGATCAGATACTGCCACTCATCCCTTAACGCTATAACCACTTGAACACCTTGGAAACCGCTTCACTCTGGTACCCGACTCGTTAAGTCCTAGCATACTTTTGGTTGAAGACTATGTAGTTACTGGTCTGTCGGTCAAAAGTTGTGCATCCCAGTTTATTTGCGTTTCATGCCCTGATAGTCTTAACGATGATGCATCTCGTCCCTCTAAATTGTCCACTTTTTCCCGTGCATTTCTTCCGCCGGCTGTTGAACTAAAGTTTGATGGTGCCTGCCGGTGGCCGAAACGATAAGCTGTCTTCTTTGCAACCCAGAGGTTACCATTTCGAGCCTACGTAGAGACGGGGCGACCCTCACAGTATCCTTAGCCCACGCGCGACTGATGGTAGTTGCGTGGCATCGTAGCATCGGTACGGCGTACTACTAGTGTCTTTGTCGGTCGCAACGAGACTATACCTTAACGTGGTGCAACATTTTGCTTACCTCTTCGACCCATTGAGCTATACTGAGCGGTGACCCCGGGCCCCTTGAGAGCTAATCCTACAAGGTTGTTCAGTTTTTATAGGTCCGACAAACTCAGTCGCCTGACCCTCCAGGTTGAAGCTTGGAATGGGGTGGCATCCATTTCTGTAAAACCAAATCATTGCTACCTGCTCGCTGCCCTGCGCACAGGGCTTTAAGCCAAAGGCTTTGATTGATGACTAATCGTTCTCCTATTTAGGTCTGGGCGCATTGGCAATATCAGCCTCTGTGCAGTCGTGACTAACCTCAAACTTTAACCTGTTCGAATAGGTTTGGAAGGAAGTGATCATCCCAGTTAGTGAGTGAATCCACCATACTGGCAATATACAAGGACAGTCGCACCGATTGTGCTAACCAGAGTATTAGCCTAACACCAGTGGTAACAAAATTACTGGCCTCCCTTCTCGTTTGCGGCCTCACTGCGGAACGGGAATCCCAATTTAGGGAAGAGCAAGTAGGTTTCTGTTCAGCACAAGGCTGTGTAGATCAGGTATTCCCAACGTTTATTCAACTGTGGCCTACTTTTGAATTTTCCAACTTATGCTCCCCACCCGTGATCACAACTATTTCAGCAATCTGAATCAGCTGGCAGATGTAAATCCATGCTTTCCAGTTATCACATCATTATCTTTGGTTACGATCGCTGTTTTCTACTGTTAATATCACTGTTCTTTCATTTGCAAACTTTATTTTTGAACTTCACATTCCCTAGATAACGTTCATTGGGTAGCAACAGCAGACCACTTCTTTATGATAGCGCAAAAGTCATCATAAATATTTACAATGGCATTTAATTGCTATCGGATTTTAGCTGTAAAGCATGTGATGAGTTAGGAGATACAGTAACTTAACAATATTTTTGTTCAACTGTTGATGTGAGCCTTGTGGCTGACGTCCTTGAGCAACCTTTCTTATGTCCGACTCTAGGCTTGCCAGGAAGAGTCGTGATTCCCCTCTTGCTATGATGTCCAATCTGATTCTAGTTTTAGTTAGAGGAACCACTGCTGAATGAACATTCAACCAAGTATATGGGCGGAAAAAAAGGAAATACACTTGTGTTATTTCCCATAGTCTGGTATGTATGTTAAGAACATCAGTCTTTATCCAAAAATCTCTTTTCTATTGCGTAAACTTGAATCTTTCTAGTGTGTCAATTTGTACCTCTATACGACTTTCCTGGATTTTAACTCTAACATTGCAGAGCTGTACATCAAATAGATTTAAAATCCAAACCGGGGTTTCCCTATCAATCAGGTCATGAAACCTGTTTTTCATTTCCTTACGTGTTAGTTTTAAATGACTGGCATAAACAATCAAATCGTCATCCTTCAGTTTCTCAATGACGTTAGCGAGAATGGGGAACTGAAGATTCCTGATATCCGATGTTTTGAGCATACACTTCCACCCTTTTAAGAAAAGCGATAATGGTTTCTTTACTCGGAATGTGACTGCTCAGTTTTATACTAGTACTAGTACTAATAATAATAAGTCGCGTTTTTCAAATGTATCAGCCATATAAAAGTTCAGTTCAGTTGAGCAACCATGACCCGAGCACCGACGTGCGGTGGATCCAGTTGCCACGACTCACACCGCAAGAATAACAATAAATAGCAACGGCAAGATAGTGGGGTTGAACGCAACTAGAAGATAAAGAAAATAGAAGCAAGCAGGCAGTGCGTTCCACTAATCAGAATGGAACGAAAATTGACTAGCAGATGCAAGAAATGGAATGCAGGAACATCAGTGACTGCTTCATGTCTGATTCGGTCTCCAACCATTGGTGTGGACCATCCCGAGGCCTCTATCCACCAAGTTGGCACGCACCCACCTGATCAAGTATCTCAATCAATTTCTTCAAGCTTCTATGCCACATCTTGGACTGGCCACCTCGCGGTTTCGCCCAACTTGGTGCAGCCACGGCGTATAGCGAACGCCGGGGAAACCGGTCAACGGACATTCGGAAGACATGACCTAGCCACCGTAAGCGATTAAGATTCAGCAAACATTTGAGAAAGTCAACAGAAGGCTTCTTGCCAAAAACTAACTGGCGGTGTTCCCACCAGACGTGAACAATCCTCCGCAGACACCGGTAGTCATTCGTCTATTCACTATGCATGTTAGCTAAAGGTGGAAAACAACTCAGCTATTGTGTAGATAGTCAAACACATTCACCGCGAATTGAGCAGGTCTCTGATCCATAGAGTAGAATCGGCTTTACCGCAGCGTTGTACACCCTACCTTTCACTAACAGGCTGATATCCCGCCGTCTCCATGTGGTTGAGTATCTGTAAAGCCACGCGGCCCTTTCTATTATGCGAAGTAACTTCCTCAGTGATGTGACCACCAGAGGTGACACAGCTGCCAAAGTAAGTGAACCGATCCACCACTTCTGTGGTTGTTCGCTGATAGCTAGAACCGGAGGTGTGTCGGTCCAGTCCTGCAGCGGTACTTTACACTTTGAATGTGAAAAGCACATGCCGAAGCGTGCGGCGTTTCGCGACAGTCTATCCAGCAGTGTTTGCATAGCCACTGTGTCGGACCCAAGAAGAGCTATGTCGCCCGCAAACTCCAGGTTTGTCAGTCGGTCATCTAGTAGAAATTCCACTTCGGTAGAGTTTGAAAGAACGAAGTCACTCATAATCATTTGGATAACAAAGTTGAAAAGGAAAGGAGATATAGGACAACCCTGGCGAACCCCATTTGTCATGGGGAACTCAGGAGACAACTTCCCGTAGACCCTTACGCGGCCTCGGGTGTCACGGTAGAGATTTAATAATGGAAATGAGTTTAACCGATACGTTCTTCATGGATTGGCAGTGCCACAAGCTGGCGCAGTCAACAAAGTCGAAGGCAGCTTTCAAATCAAGGAAAGCCACCGTTGTCGGTCGTATCTATGTTTGTCTCTGCTCCAACACTTGGCGAAGAGTAAATATGTGGTCGATACAACCACTTGTAGAGCGGAAGCCAGCCTGACTTTCAGTGATTCCGTACTCCCGGGGACCAGTAAGTCGTCGAAAAATGATGCTCTTGAGAAGTTTTGGAGCAAGAGAAATAAGACTAATGTCTCGATGATTTTCGCACCAAGTACGCTGATCCTTCTTAAAGATGGGCACTGCAGTTGACAGTCGCCAGTCTGAGGGAACCTCTTCACTGTCCAAATCGTGTTAAAAAGAGTAGCGAGTCCGGTCAACAATGCGTCACCACCATCTTTCAGCAAAGATGGAGAAAGGTCGTCGGGTCCAGGAGCCTTGTTCGTTTCAACTCGGAAATCTCATCTCGAATCTGTTCGAACGTGGGAGGTGTCACATCTACTTCCCACAACGGCTCAGACGATTCGGCAAGCGCCAATGTCGCAGCAGGCCTGCTGAACTGCTCCTTAAAATTTCCAGTTCTACGTGTTAGTCGACGAGGCTGAGAATGAATCAACTGTCCTTATTTCTCAGCTATTGTCTCAGACTCGTGTTCCGGTTGAGCTGGAACAGAACTCGGCTGTTCCCAATGGCACTTGCTTTCTCCATCTCACGGCCCCTTGCGAGTCACCAACGTTCCCGATCAATTCGAAGACTCCATGTCAGACGTCGTTTCAGAGAGTTACGGACGCACTGAAACTCGGTGCCTATCAGGACCTGTTTCCGTGCTTCGATCAAGCTGGTCGCATTTCCAAATATCCATTCGCAGTCACGACGTCTCAAGTTGGGTGCAAAGGATACGTCAAAGGCATTCTTCATGGTACATTTGATATTATCCCAGTTAGCGTTCGGCTCACCAACTCATTCATCACTGACAATGAGTGAACCAGTTCGTCGTGATATTGTTGAACTGCATCTTTCGAGTTCAAGTTACAGATAAGGTTGGAAGATATACGCTTCTTTGAAGTGGGAGTGGTGAGCGCCAAGCGTGCGCGCACTAGCGCATGGTCGGAATCTGGACACGTGCTCCAAATTAACCTGCAGTCTTGGACTGATGTGCGCCATCTGTAGTTAATGACAATATGGTCGATTCGGGTTCAGGTCACTGAGGAATTCGGTGGGCGCCAGCGGACTCGGTGTGAACATTTGTGCTGGAAAGCAGTGCTGCTAAGGCAAAGGTTATGGTCGGCGCACAGTTGCACGAATCCATCACCATTGTCTGTTCGGCGTGCATCAACTCCGAAGCGCCTTCTCAGGTGTTGTTCAGGATCTGAAGGTCCACTCACTTAGGCATTCAAGTCACCAGCAACAACCACGAGGTCTGTATTCTTCACTATGCGAAAGAGAGTTGAGAGCTATCGTCACAAATCGTTCAGGCAAGTTGCTTGAGTCAGCTTTAGAACG